TTTACTGTGTTTTATAATTTACGTTTTATTTTATATTTTATTTCGCATGTAGCCTAATATATCACCTCATTCAATTTAATTAGTTTTTTAAAACTGTGTTAAAATTTCCGAAAATATTTAACATATAGTTTTTTATTCGAACTTGTAAAAACTACTGAATATGCATATGTTAGATTTTTCTTAGAGCCGCAGCTTTTGTAACTTTTTGGCGAGCTAACTACAATTTCTCTTCTCATTTCCTTAATTTTGCAGCACATTGCGCAAAAAAAAATTTGACCAAAATAGGTCTTTTTTGTATTGTTCTTACAACTTTGCGCATATATATATATATATATATATGCGCAAAGTTGTAAGATATATATATATATATATATATATATATATATATATATGTAATGATATTTTTAAATCAATTGATTAAATTAAATTCTAATAATATTGCTTAATAATGTGTTGGCGATTCTCTACCTAAATTGCATCCCTGTTCCTAAATTTTTGGCGAAATCCTTTCTTTAGTATAAAATATATTAACCTGTTGGCGCCCGCCAAATCGCCAAACTCATAAATCTGTCATATTACATAAAGTACTTAAGAACACTCCTGATGAGAAGATAGCGTCACCTCGTGATTTCAATTAATATCGCTGATTGGAGGAGCCTCGTGACGCACACATATGTATAAATTGGGCTTCTGCTCAAGGTACGAGGAGAAACGCTTGTGAGATGGATGCTAAAATAAACCTACCACTTTATATTCCAAAATTTGTCTCATTCCTGTTGCCCCGGCTGCACAAAACAAATAATGTATGAGAAATTACATTTCAGAAAGCCGGTAGGATACCACCTTCAAAGGGATTATCTAAAAAAGAAGATACCCCAAGGATTATACGGATAAAATGTTACGCACTTTAGATGAATTTGCCGCTGTGCGACTTCTATGTTTCTACATTTTTCTCTAGGCGTTCTTGCTTCAAGAGAATCATCCTTCTGTTACCTGTATTCTGGTATTCTATTCTGCAGATGAATTTGCCGCTGTGCGACTTCTATGTTTCTACATTTTTCTCTAGGCGTTCTTGCTTCAAGAAAATCATCCTTCTGTTACTTGTATTCTGGTATACTGCAGATTATTTTACGTCCATTGAAGCATCTTTCTGCCCCCTGTGATGTGTGATCTGTGTTTCCATCGAAAGTTCGTCGTTCATCAAATGTGCTCTTACCGTTGACCTACTTTTGAGGATGGAAATCTTTCCCTACGTCTACGTCTACGCCGTTCTGTGTTGCTCTCGAGAGCTTTGTGCTTGTGTGGTGATTGATCGTGTTTTTGCGAAAATCTAATCAAGAGTGCACAAAAATGTGTATTTTCGTGTCGATTTCATCACTCGTATTCTCGTCACAATAAGTCAAACAGAAGCAATTAGTAAAAAGATTGGCGATGCAAATGATATTATTACTATTGAATTATAATTACTGATTTAATAATAGTGTTTTTATTTTGAAAATTTTAAAAAGTATTATTTTGGTATAAATGTATTTTAAATTTGGTATTTAAAGGATGTATTTTGGTTTTAATATTGTTTTGGGAAAATTTTTAAAGAGTATTATTTTTGAGTTAGTTTTATTTATGAAAGTATTATTAAGAGAATAATGGCTAATGAAAACATCTCTGATCCTGATGATTCATTAAGGGCAGCTAGCGCTGAACCTGAAACAAGTATAATTCCCTTTGACGCGCAGAATGATATGGATATAAATTCATGGCTTGAGTACTTTAACAAAACTCATTTAGATAAAGATGAAACGTGGAAGCTTAATAATGTAGCTCGATATCTAAAAGGTAATGCACTTAGCGTATATGTCAAAAACTGCCATAAAATTACTAAATATGTGGAATTAGTCCAAATTTTTAAAGGAAACTTTTTTCGACCCCACTTTAACTACGTTTGGTGATTTTGCCAATTACAAGTACAATCATAAAGAGGACATAACGCAATATTTTCGCAAAAAATTAGATATTGGTAAAAAATTAAAGAAGTTAAGAAAAAGAATTTTTATAAAATTGTAGTACCTAAAACTTTAAGATTAAAATTTTTGAATAAAACCCATGAAAATTTTGGCCACCCAGGAGTTCAAATTATGCTTAACTTAATCACCCCTCAATATTATTGGCCTCATATTAGCGAAGATATCGGAAATTTTGTAAACATTGTCATACTTGTCAACTTTATAAAAAGAAAAAACAGAAAAAATTTGGTCTTATGCAAGACGTACCCCCAACCGAAAAACCTTTCGAATGTCTCTCTATTGACACTGTGGGAGGATTTAATTATTATAATTCTACAAAAAAATATTTACATATAGTTATTGACCATGCAACAAGATATGTCTGGGCTTTTCCCTCTAAAAGTGTAACTTCAGAAACCTATGCCAATTGTCTAAAACAAATATTTCAAATACAAGTCCCCGAAAAATTCTGAGTGACAGGAATGCAGCCTTCACTTCCTCTAGATTCAAAAAATTTCTTAAAAAGCATAATGTTACACAACTTTTAACTTCATCTCACCATCCCCAGACAAATGGTAAAGTAGAAAGAGTAAATCAATCAATAGTAAGTCGACTAAAATGTAAAGTAAATTCTTCTTCTAAAAAAGTACCATGGACTAAAGTGCTAGAGCAAGTTGTTATCGAATATAACAACTCCCCTCATACGGTAACTAAGTTCACCCCAGCATACTTACTATTTGGTAACCTCCCTTTTGAATCTCCAATTGATCAAAATAAATACCCTTCCTTAAATGAAGCAAGGGCTTTAGCAAAGAAAAGAACTATCGAATACCACCGAAAGAATAAAACTAGATATGACATCAGATTTGTAGAATCTAAATTTCAACCTGGAGATTTTGTCCTTTACGAGGAATTCGAATACCCAAATACTAGAAAATTGACTTCACCCTATTCAGGCCCTTATCAGATTATGAATAAATTATCTGAAGTTAATTATGAAATCGACAGGGAAAATTTTCACACGAAGAAACCAACTGAGATTGTACATGCGTCAAAATTAAGGTTCTATTATCCACCCCGAGAACTTTAAATTACATCATGAATAAATCAAAATTTATAAATCAATAAACTATCCATAACCCTTCTTTTAGTTTTCATCCTGTTGTCCCCCTTAATAGTTGATTTATCTCTCAGTGTCTGAAAAGTTTGTCTGCCCTTTTCTTTTACTGGGCTCCTTCAAACTTGAGTTTCAGGTTCAATGCACTTTTTCCGTGTGGGAAAACACTCAATTGAGGCTATACTACAAGTAGAGTACTATACCCTCACATTTCCTTGAGCTCATGTTTTCCTATGTTTGTGTTATAAATTGTAGCAACAGTTGAAAAAGTTAAATTTCAGTTGTTGAAATTTCTGAATTTCATTTTATGTTTCTGCAGCATCGTGTACAAAAAACTGGTATGGATGTTGGAAGTTAAATTTTGTTTTGTTATCATTAATAAGAGAAAAATAGAGTGACAAAATATGTTAAAAACCTAGCAAAATGTGTATTTTCAACAAGAGTATAAGAGCTCTAGTATCGTGACATAAAAACTCAAATGTTTTCAGTGCCAATGCTAATCCATAATTCTAGCGCTAATTAAATGATCCGGAGATCTCCAAAGACCAGTAAAAGACTGAAGATGAGCCTGAATGACAACTCTAATGATTGTACGGACTCATACACAAACTGTGAATGGCATGCCCTAAGATATAAACTTACAAATTCAGTTATATTACTATTTCCTATTGCCGCGTAGCTAACCAGCAATATGTTATTAGTGCTTTATTTGTTCTGCACTTAGTTACTATATTATAATTTCATTAATCATTTATTATATTTTATATACTGTATTAATTATATTCAAATATTTTATGTCATATTTTATGTAAACATTTTGTGTGCCTTGAGGTAAATCCAATCAGTTTTCCTACTCACTTAATTTCCTAATAACTAAATTTTCTGCTCTCACTATCTGGACTGTCTTGGGTCGACGGCCGCGACTGCAAGCCTTTTCAGATGGGGGGGGGATAATCTGTAATGATATTTTTAAATCAATTGATTAAATTAAATTCTAATAATATTGCTTAATAATGTGTTGGCGATTCTCTACCTAAATTGCATCCCTGTTCCTAAATTTTGGCGAAATCCTTTCTTTAGTATAAAATATATTAACCTGTTGGCGCCCGCCAAATCGCCAAACTCATAAATCTGTCATATTACATAAAGTACTTAAGAACACTCCTGATGAGAAGATAGCGTCACCTCGTGATTTCAATTAATATCGCTGATTGGAGGAGCCTCGTGACGCACACATATGTATAAATTGGGCTTCTGCTCAAGGTACGAGGAGAAACGCTTGTGAGATGGATGCTAAAATAAACCTACCACTTTATATTCCAAAATTTGTCTCATTCCTGTTGCCCCGGCTGCACTAAACAAATAATGTATGAGAAATTACATTTCATATATATATGTATATATATATGTATTACACAACCAAAAAGCCGAACGTTTAGTTTTCTCGTATATAGGCGTGTATATTTACGTCTTTGCCTCAGAAAGGCACGTCTCTGTACACAATGTAACAAGATTAGAATTTAAGATATAGAAGAATGTTTAAAACATAATCCTTAAAGGTAATTACATGCTATACATTAAATCTAGGGAATGATGTAAGTAAACAGAATTTAAATTATTCAAACATCTTGAAAACCGTTTCATCGCAACATGAGGTTGAGTTAATTCGATTGCAAATGTTCTTTCGAAGCGTATAAAATGCACTTTTCCAAAAAATTGATTAAATATAATTATTAGAGTGGAATGGAAACATTTGCACAAAAGTTCGAAGATATTTTCAAGTTATATTAAAAGTTTTCAAACGCATTTCCTATTACAACTTAAAATGCATATCAGAATTATTTATTTAAAATATAAAATTAATTTTCATATTTCTTTTTCAGAAATAGCAAATTTATTCTTTGTTGTGCTGTTTACGTTGGAAATGTTGCTAAAGTTATTCAGCCTCGGAATCCAAGGTTACTTCGTTTCTCTCTTTAATCGCTTTGATTGTTTTGTGGTAGTAAGTTCGATTCTGGAAACGGTGCTCACATACTCTGATGTTATGCCTCCGCTGGGTGTCTCTGTGTTGAGATGTGTCCGCTTGTTGAGGATATTCAAAGTCACGAAGTGAGTAAATAGGATATAAATATAGTAAATAGAAAAATAGAATCATTTTATTCTGTATGCAACTGTTATAGAATTTTAAGTAAATATCTGAAAAATTAGCTTATATGGAGATTTATTTATTATTATGCCTTCGTGGAACATCAGTCCATCTTTAAGCAAACGTCCTTTTAATAAAAATATCCATACTCTATTTTTCTTTTATTATCTGTTAAGATTTGCTTGAAAATGTCACTAAAATATGATTTTCCTTCTAGCTTGCGTAATTTCTTTGAACTGGCTGATGAACTTCAAGAAATTTTCATTAGTTATGTAACATGTATTAAAACGCCAATTACTATGTTTTGAATTGAAATCAAATGAAAATTTTGTCTTGTAATTTCCATTAAACGTTTCAAATGTTTCCATTAAAATTCTAAATGATTATGTATTTAATACTATTAAATATATAATTATGTATAGTTACAAACTTATAAATGTATTTTTATATTAAAATTAAGAAAATAATGTGCATTTACATGATTTTAAGTTATTCGATATCTTAAAATTAAGATTTCTCAGGCTATATTTATTCTGCTTGTGACATTGATTTTTCCAAAACCATTGATCAGAATTTAAAGAAATTTTAACCAATTATATTAACGCTGTGTGGGTATCAAGTGACCAGCTATTATGTATCTCAATAAAAAAAATTTTAGAAATCAACTTTAATTTAATGTTTACAAATTGTCAATTTTGAGAGTATCAAAAATTTTTCGAAAAAGTGTAGTTTGATTATTTTTTAAATAAGTCATTTTAATTGCACATTATTTTTCCCAATGTAGAAAAACAACGCTAAAAATGGTGATTTGTTTATCTAGAACACTACGCCCAGTACGCATTGCAAAAGCCTAGTGGCGATCACGAGAAGATATTTATTAGTATTTTTTAATTTAAATATTTTAATAGCTGGAACATAAAAGAGCAAATACAATATCTGCGGTACTAAAATATGTATACGAAGTTTTACAATACTAAACCAGCTTGTTTTTAAGATATTCAGCTTTAAAATGCTTTATTAAATTTATTGTTAACTGTTTAAAATATTTAATAAATATTTACAAAGATTTAATTTAATGCTTCTTAAAATTTTCAGCTTATTTTAATTTATAATAATTAATTAATTATTAATATCTTTAATACAGCGACCACAACTCTCATATTCTATCTAGCGGATAGTGCTTTCTATGCAGCACCTATACCTAGTATTTAGTCTTGATTTCTGCAGAAGTTTTCGGTATAGAAAAGGGCTTTCATTTTTTTAATCACCCTGCATGTATATGTATGTACAAAGGGCTTTCTTTAGCTTTTCTTCTAGATATCAATTGGGTAAATAATCACCTTTCCATTTCTAAGGAATTTAAGATACTTCTGTTCATGTGCTTTTTATGGCATAATAGTCAACACATCCATTAACCAAAGTGGAAAGGTTCACGCTCGGTCTCTTGGTAGATTTAGAGAGGATTATGATTGATGTTTTAAAATTTCTTAATCTTTCTTAAGAACTTAGTGAATGCGCATCGTTATTATAAAAATAAAGAGGAATTTTCCCTGAGCTTCTGGAGGAAGTACTTATTTAATTCCAAGTAGCTAATCAAAGCAAGAAACTGCAACAATAATTAAATGCCAAAACAGAAATTTAAAGAATAAATATGCACTATTTTAGAATGAAAAAACTGTAACTTGTTAAAACAAAGTGGAAAGCAAATTGGTTTAAAACTGTTATTGTATACGTATACGTAGTAAATAAAAATTCTTTGTTTTCCTGCGTAAGTAATGAAACTTCTAAAATAAGTAGTTTTTTAGGTACTTTTCTGCAGTCAGGACCGCATTCAAAAATGTATATGTATATATGTATATGTGCATTTATGCACGTATGTATGTGCGTACGTATATATGTGTATGTACACACATGCATGTATATAAATACATGCAATAATTTTCCCCTCTTGATTTTCGTATAAAAACTTAGTAACCCATGCGTACATACATACATTTCTGAGTCCAATCCCACTAACAGAAAAATACCGCCTTTCATTATATATGTACTTATCAATAGTAAGTGAATTTTTTTATGTTGATATATTTTAGATTTTTTATATTTGTATATTTCATTTTCGGACAAGTACTTTTTCATATTAAATTTTTTACTATTATTTAGTTTATTCATGCTTAATCAATATGTGATTGAGAATCGAAAGCTCGTATGATAAGGCTATAATAATCGCTATAATAATGACGCATTTTCCCGTACTGTATGGATGTGATTTATAATTGCTTAAAAATACAGTGAGATTATTTGATATTTTTAGGAAAGGAATAATGTCTCTGTGCGTTTTTAAATTACTCGTAAAAAATGCCGTATGTAATTTTTTTTTTTTTTTTTTTTTTTTTTTTTTTTTTTTAGGTACTGGGCTTCGTTAAGAAACCTTGTTGCTTCTCTCATCAATTCCATGCGATCCATCGCCAGCTTGCTGCTGTTACTTTTCCTATTCATCGTCATCTTCGCCTTACTTGGCATGCAGGTGTTTGGAGGAAAATTCAACAATAACCCACACGAGGACAAGCCCAGGAGTAATTTTGATTCCTTCTGGCAAAGCCTTCTAACTGTCTTTCAAGTAAATAAAGTTGTGATTTTACACATGAAATTAAATTTTGACATCCGAATTAGTATTATATTGAGTACTGAAGTGAAAAACGTAATGCCCATATCACAAACATGTATTTAAGTCCTATAGCTGAATGTCAGAACTATATTTATTACATTTTTACGTTTTACGATAGCTTATCCGTGAATAATTTTCATTTGTTTAGTTTTTACTGTAACCGCGTCCTTCAGAAATTAAATCATTCGTACATTTCCCCCCTCTTGATTTCCGCATAAAAAAAATTAATGAAAGGAAAGGAGAAAATACGCAAGTAAGTACGATATCTTAGTAGCCAAAATGTTCAGTGCCCTAATCTTTAAATTTTTCTGTCCTTTATATAACATTCTCAAATTCTGTGAGGAGTGATTTAAGAATAAAATGCAGATTATACGTTTAATCATTCTGCATTTATCTGGAAAAAATTCAGAGAAAGTTTTTAACCTCTTTGTTTCTGTGAAAGTCATAGAAATATTATGGAAATGCTGTTTTAAAGTAGCAATATGCATACGCCTTAATGTTTCAACAAAACTCATTTTGAAATAATTAAAAAAAAAATTCTTTAATCCAGTTTCAAATGTAATCATAATTTATAAAGAGAGATGTTGCATAACTCTAACAGTTAAAATACAAATGAACTAGCGAAATTTAAGAAGCGTAATATGGATAAATACAGATCCTTTTTTTTTGGGGGGGGAGAATAAAAAAAATTCTGACTCCGGATTGTCCAGAAACTTTTCGAGAGCTCAAAAACCTTGGTTATAAGGTGAGCATCACACTGCATTTTTTAAATAACCATCTTCATAACTTCTCAAAAAATCTTGGTGCAATCAGTGATGAGCAGGTTCAGTGATTTTCCTGAGATTTGAAGGTTGTGGAGGCACTGTACCAAGGTAGATGGGATGTACACATATAATGGCTGACTATTGTTGCAGCATCAAGCGAAAATATCCACAAATTAAACATTCGAGAAAAGGCCATATGCAAAAACTTTTACCTTAATATGTATGTTTACCGTTTGGTAAAAAAAGTTTATTATTTTTATGAGCAAAATTTAACTTGCATTAACTATATATAGCCTTTGTATGAATAAAACTGATCTTTTTTAGCAGTATATTTGGTAAGTTTCCCTTTTATTTTCCTTCATATGCATATTTTGTATGACTTTTGAGACAAAGAGAGGATGTCCTGCAGCTTAAAAATTTGACATCATAGAAAAAATTGAGGTTATGTTTGGTCTCAGAGGCCAAAGGTAAGTCAAAAACAAGTGACAGATTTAAGACAAAGAAACTGTTGCTTCCCAAAGTAATTATCTCTGTTGAATAAAATAAACTTACCTTATCCAATAAATAAAATGAGCAAACATTATTTATATATTTAACTTCTAATATGTGTTGGAATAATTTACACAAATTTATTATTTGCACATACAGCTTTATTTCCCCCTTTTTCTTTTAGATACTAACTGGTGAGGATTGGAATGAAGTTATGTACCATGGTATCAATGCTTACGGTGGTGTTGGGTCACCAGGAGTTTTAGCTTGCATATATTTCATTATTTTATTTATTTGTGGAAACTGTATCCTTACATGAATTAGTTTTTTTAATTAGTAAATATATCTAAAATAACTCAAAATTTCACATTTTTTTTTTCAAATAAAATGTTGAATTCCTTTAGAAGGCATGCTTCTTCAATTATTTTCTCAATAATCTGAATGTGCAAAAGACTAAAAAAACTAATTAAATTTTTTTATAGGAGGAAAGCAGAATTTTTCTCCCTCATGATAATAACTGCTTTAAAGATATTGTAAGCTCTTAAATGCTTAATCTTAGGGCAATAAATGCAGCACCTAAATAAATTATTAGAGATATTTTAGTTTAAATAAAGATCGTGTTATTCTTATTCTCCTAAAATAAGAAATCTCATCAAACAAAGTATGAAACTGTTAAAAAAATATTTTACTGCTCTCAGTTTTCTACTTTCTTTCGCAGAACACTCTATCCATTCCATTCGATTCTTAATTCATGCAAAGAAAAAATTGCATTCGACTTTTGTTTTAAAAATAAAGTAAAATAAATCCAAATAAGAGATAAAATTTGTCAGTTTGTTTGCCGTATACGTACGCATTTATAAACTAATTAAAAATATTCCCCTAGATTCTCACTGAGCATCGTAATCATCTGTGTTACCTTCCTTCAGCTATAATCTGTTACTTTAGAATAGGCATTTCAATGAAATTTTCCCTCCAAACTATGAGCTGCAAAGTCGAATAATCTAATTTGCTAAAATTTCTTAGTTGCCCACTGTGCTTGCATATTGATACACATTACGATCTTAAATTAGAGGAGGGCAGCCACGATCTTGAAATTGTTATTTTAAACTAGCAGATTATAGAATCGTTAAATGTAGTAGTATTCTTCTTCAGAGTTCGTTGGCGAAATTAAATGCCAGACGTGCATGCGCACTTGCGTATCTTGACGATAGAGAGTGAAAGCAACTTGTTCCTGGAATGAAAGTGATTTTTTTCTCATTAACTAATTTTATTTACAGATTGTTTCAATAACTGTTAAAGTCGTGAATGTTTTAGCCACTCACGAGAACTGATTTTTAAAAAGCTGTTTACATCATGGAGGTAGGGAGTTAGATGGAGTGGCCTTAAACCGGTTTCCCCATACCCTGCTTTGAAGCGCTTTCGATCCCTTCCTTTTGGTGACCAAAACATTGAGTAATTTACCATTAAGTTTAATGGGTTTTGATACGATCAGATGTAAATATTTTGTAATTACGTCGTAAATATGCATATAAATGCATATATTTTTTTTCTACAATACTTCAGAGTCCTAAGTATATGAAAAGAATACATTTTTAAACAACATTTTATTCTGAACGGAATTAAATGCTATACTTTTCACAGAACAGTTTGCTCAGGATGGTTTAATTTGAATGAAATATTTTCACAAGTTTTTGTTAATTACATTAGAAAAAAATTTAAGATAATTCTATTTTATTCGGTTAAATATTGAAATAATTAAGGTCAAAGTTTATTGTATTATTAATATTAAAATTAAGCATTATTTCTCTTTCTATTTATAGAGCTTCTTCCTAAAATACTTTCTCAAATATGACATGATTTTTTTAGCTTCTGAGGCATCTTTTAAATCGAAAAATATAAGTCAATTTATAATTAATGCTCTATTCTGTCCATTTCAAATTAGAGCACCTTTTATTTTAATAGCGAAATACTTTAAATAGTACTTAATTTCTCTAAATATATCTGAAAGGGAATAAAATAAGGATTATTTTTTTAATATTTTTTTTAACTTGTAACTGAGTTATTATAAAATGTAAGGGAATAATTCTTTTAATTATACTTATCAGATTTTTTAACCCTTAATTTCAACAATACATATCCCAAAACTATTCTTTATTAGTTTCTTAAGTACGCTTCTCATGGAATTTTCTTTACAATACCTTCTAACAGATTGCTTTCCAGTACAAATAGTTAACTTAAATAGTTTTATAATGTATTAGATAATATCTATAATCATTATAAATTTAGATACATTTAATAATTAGATTTCTTCACAGTAACTTTCACAGTTGTTTATAATGAATAAAACCTTCATTTCAAATACATTTGTAAATAATTAAATAAATATTTACGTATTTTGTTAAATGCAGATACATGCTTTTTGCAAGCACATGCATAAATACCATTTTTCATTTCCGGCATGTCAAAATCTTTAATGTCTGTGCATTCACTATATTTTTCGAGTAAAGTAATTTTCACTAATTTTTAAAAAGTACATGTTACTTACTCGTATAATATGTGGGTTATGGGTTATTCAATTATGGCAAAGCACACTAGGGCTATCTGCCTAAAGGGAGGGATGCCTTCGTGGAGGACTTTCTAAGGGAAACTGGCTCGCATACACGTTACACATGGGGAAAACCACGAAAACGCCCATGCAGCCAGCCCATTCGCGGGATTCGAACCTCGGACCGAACTACCAGTGTTCAGCGTCTTTACCGCTCGTCCGCTGGTGGGCCTATAATATGTGGATGGGAAAAAAAATAAGTTTATTTTATTTAAAACATTTTGGCGTTTGGAACATAAAATAAAAGTAGCGAATACTCAATCAAGGTTATCGAAAGATGTATACAATTTTAAAGGTACGGTGAGATATTTTTCATTCTTTAAGTATAACGTTTTTGCTAAAATCGATATTTTTGTAGTTCAACAGCTTAGAATTTTATAAAAAAAATTCACAATCAAAATCGCTGTTGCTAGTTATCGAAAAATAACCAAAATGTGATTTTTGCGTAAATGTCACTAAACTATACAAATTGCTATTATCTATCACTCTAGAAATTTTTCTTTTATCCGGAAATGTCCCGTTTTTCGATTTGTATGGAACTGTCGTGTGTCGAAATACTATCAGAGCGCTGTCAAGCGAGCTTCTGAATGTAAACAAAAAACACTCCATCTGGTGACCAAAGCTTCGGTGCAGTGCTTCACTTCTATGCCGGTTTAGCCGCTCCTTTCCTTTCTTACCTTCATGGTTTACATTTATTTAGTTAATTAAAAACTCTGGACAGATTTATTTCCTCGATGAAATTTATATAAATTTATATCTTCTGATGCACTTTTGCTTTCGATTCCTGCACGGTGACTTTCTCCTATGTTATTACGTTTATGTGCGAATTTTGTGACTGCAATTAGTATATTAAGTCTGTAATTAATAAGTTGCGCTTTTAGTTCTTGGGAGATACTATAACTTCACTAAAGCTTTATGAAAATATTTCTTTGGAAATCAAATAATTTCAAACAGCTAGTACGAAGAAAGTAACAGGTAGTAAATTCCTTTAAGAAATAATTTTCTGTACTACAAAAAAAAATGTATAACGCCATACACATTTCAATAAAATTATTGCTTATTATTTAAGAAGCAGAACGCAGTATCTACCTTTGCACCACTGAAGGGGCTCCCGACCTAAGGTGATACCTAACGGAAAAAGCCCACCGAGTGGAAATTATTTGTTGAAAAGATCCCTTTTAGAGAAAATTTTTGCAATGAAAATTTTTATATGACAGTGATATTTTTTACATGACATTGAAAATTATTTACAGTCTTTTTTGCATTTACATGCTACGTTGAGCTAATTTTGGTATACATTTCAATTTGATTTTCATAAATTTCAATAATTCAAAATGCAGTGAAAGTTCTGTAGTTGAATGGAAATTCAACAGATCAAAAGTTTTTGAGATATAAAGTTTTAAAGTTTTAAGTCCTTTTGATCGAAGATTTCGTACATATAATAGTTCGATGTTTCATATGATCGTAATTTCAGAGATACAGTATCTACCAATAATATTTATAGAATAGTCTGCATTATTTCTGAAAATAGAAAACTTTTGCCATACTAATCTGTATAATGGCTAGCCAAATCTGGCTGATATATCGTAGGTCTTGCGTTCGAATCTTGCCTAAGACATGGAAATGTTTGTAAATACAAAGTGTTTGTGGGATGGAGACGTATATAACACATCGACCTAAAAGTCCTCTTGAGAGCTGGATTGTAGAGTAAAAAGGGAAACCAACTTAATAAAGAAACGAAACTTTCCTTCCCTACTTTTGAATATCCTATATATGCTTTTAATTAAAACTGGGATGTAACTCAGCAAAAAGTAGCTCTGTACCATATGTGCTAAGCTTTGTCTAATGACAAGTGTTATTCTCTCCCTATACCGTACACTTCTTGAAGCTAATCTAATCCAAATGCATTAGCAATGCCTGAAATGTTTTCTTTATGGGACATATGGCGTTTAGAATACAATATTTTTTGTCGTGATTTGTCCTAGAATGACATATGGATGTCATTAAGATGTGACCCCTTTCGATATTACAGCATCACGAAATTTGCAATGTTAACAATACTGCTGTCAACCTCGGCTAGGTAATTCCCAAGTCAGCATTTGCAAGTACTACTTACGTTTTGGGAATAACTTTAAGTCAGAGCCTTAGCTATAACTTTTGCCGCCCCTCTTGGTAGAAAACAAATAAATGTCAGAACGACGTGTAGGGAAATAAATTAAAACAGCACGTATATTTGTGAAGAAAAACTTAAATTCCAACATTTTAAAATTTTATTATTATTATTATTATTATTATTACATTCTGTTCACAAAGTCATCGATGATATTGTAGAAATCTACTACATTGCTCCTGTTGCTGTTAAGTAGAGCATACAGAAAGGTTTCTTAAATGCAATATATACATTGGCAGTACGCTTACCGCAATTGAGAGGAAAGTTGGCACTAGTATTATTTGGAACTTTGTTCTGGAGATTGTATTTTACAATAGCCTGCAAAAATTCAACAGTACTGCTCTACCATGTTCCTGTACCGATTTTCCTAACAGAAACGGATATAAAACTCTAAAACAATTTTTCCTTAGCTAGGAAATTTGATGATCATAATTTAGTTCTTATTCGCAAATTGCTTTCAAAAGTTCTGATGTGATGAAATAAATATTAGAAAATTATGTAGTTGTTGAAATCCTGGGGGGATTTGTTTC